GGAGGGGGAGGAGGGGGAGGGGGAGGGGGACAAGCTAGGTGCGCTCGCGTCATATCTGACGTCCTACCCCTCCCTCCCATCCCTTACCATGGCGCTGATTTTCTAACCAATCGTCGGGCACCTCGGGGTTGCACCATCAAATCCGGTCGTCCTTCTCACATGATGGCCGCGAACCGAACCGAGAACCGAGAACCGGCTCCCGAACCGAACCGGCCGAACCGGACCGGTCCTCGACCCGAATCGGCCGAACTGGACCGCGCCAGCCTCTGACCCGAACCGGCCAGACCGAACCGGCCCGACGAACCGAACCGGCCGAACCGGACCCCCCCTCGTGGCTGGAGGGGCGGAGGGACCTGACCCCCCCCTCAGGACGGCGGGGATCGGAGGGGATCTGACCCCCCCTCAGGACGCGGCGGGGGCGGGGGCCCCCCTCAGGACCTGACCCCCCTCAGGGCCCTCTTGGGGCCTTGGGGGGCTTCCTGGGAGGCCCAGGAGCGCCCCCAGCGGGCCCCGAGAGGGCCCTTAACGCGCATGTCGTGCGCATGTCGTGGCCCTGGGGCCCAGGACGACGACGACATGCGCACGACATGCGCCCTTGGGTCCTTCTTGGGGCTCTCTTGGAGCCCTCCTGGGCCCTCTTGGGGCCTTGCGGGGCCCGCCTGGGAGGCCCAGGAACGCTCCCAGAGGGCCCCGAGAGGGCCCTTAACGCGCATGTCGCGCGCATGTCGTGGCCCTGGGCGGGACCTGACCCCCCCTCAGGACGGGACCTGAACCCCCCCTCAGGACCTGACCCCCCCTCAGGACGGAAGGCGAAGACGCCGCGGGACCTGACCCCCACTCAGGACGGACGGCGCCGCGGGACCTGACCCCCCCTCAGGACGTACGGCGGCGCGGGCCGCAGGACCTGACCCCCCCCTCGGGACCTGACCCCCCCCTCGGGACCTGACCCTCCCCCTCGGGACCTGACCCCCCCCTCGGGACCTGACCCCCCCCCTCGGGACCTCCCCCCCTCGGGACCTGACCCCCCCCTGAGGACCTGACCCCCCCTTCGGGACCTGACCTTCCCCTCGGGACCTGACCCCCCCCCCTCGGGACCTGACCCCCCCCTCGGGACCTGACCCCCTCCCCCTCGGGACCTGACCCCCCCCCTCGGGACCTGACCCCTCCCTCAGGAACCTGACCCCCCATCGGGACACTGACCCCCCCCCCTCAGGACTGACCCCCCCTCAGACTGCCCCCCCCTCGGGACGGACGGCGCCCCCCCTCAGGATCTGACCCCCCCTCAGGACGGGACCTGAACCCCCCCTCTCAGGACGACGGGGGACCTGACCCCCCCTCAGGACGCCGGGGATCGGAGGGCCGCTCCCGCTCCCTCGTCCCTCCCTCTGCCGCTTCCTCCGTTCCTGCTGCCCCCTCCCTCCCTCGTCCCTCCCTCCGTCGGCCCTCCTCCGTCGTCCCTCCTCCCCCCTTCGTCCCTCCTTCCTCTCGCCTCCCTCTCTCCTCCCTCTCTCACACTCTGCCGCTCCCGCTTCCCACTCTGCTCGTCGTCGTCGTCGTCGTCGTCGTCGTCGCCTCATGTCCAAGAATTCGGGGGTGTCTTGGAACCGGCCGAACCGGAAAACCTCGGCCGAACCGAACCGGCCGAACCGGACCGAACCGGCCGAACCGAGCGACCGAACCGGACCGGCCGAACCGGACCGGCCAATATACTCGAACCGGACCGGATGGACCGAACCGGACGGCGATCTGAACCGGACCGGCCGCACCGACACGAAGGCGCGCCGAACCGGACCGAACCGAACCGAACCGGGGCCATCATGCTGACCGTCCATGACAATGCACGGACGTACCACTGCCAACCACCCTGGCTGTTCCCAAGGAAGAAGCGCAGAATGGACGGCAGCAGCAGAACAGCCGCCAGCGTGAGGTAAAGCACCTGCCACCTAAAGGTCACGGCCTTCATAGGCGTCCTGAGCCCAACGAGCCCAGAATAATCTGCCGGGTACGTGACCTGCTCGCACAAAATGCGCTGCGCGACAAAGTCGGAAGAGGCAACGCGGCCGAAGTAAACACCGACGACGCCAACGGAGCAAAAGTCCTGCGGGCCAACGGCCGCCGAACAAATGTCCGCCAGAGACCAGTCGGGCGTGACAGGGCCGGCATAGGCAAGGCCTCCGCCAAAGGCGGGGGTCACCTCCCCGGTCATGTTAGTGTACTCGCAGGGCCCGAAGAGGAAATCAGTCTCCGTCGTCGATCCCTTTGCTACAGCCAACGTGCCAGGGGCGCCGCTTTCCGCGATCGCGTACAGATCAGTCGGTCTGTACTTGGCCGCAACGCCAGTGGCGAGGCCGACCTCGTTCATATTCGACTGAAAGTCGCGAGTCGCCTGCTCATCAATCTCCGCGTCTGTCATGCAGGCGGAGATGATGGTCTGGACCTCCTGCTCATTTGGCCGTCAAGCTCATGTGGCAAAGCCAATGGCTTAGACGACGGAGGAGGAGGAGGAGGAGGAGGAGAAGGAGAAGGAGAAGGAGAAGGAGGACGAGGAGGAGGAGGGAGGAGGAGGAGGAGGAGGAGGAGGAGGAGGAGGAGAAGGAGGGAGGAGGAGGAGAGGAGGAGGAGGAGGAGGAGGAGGAGGGGAGGGGGAGGAGGAGGAGGAGGAGGAGGAGGAGGAGGAGGAGGAGGAGGAGGAGGAGGAGAAGGAGGAGGAGGAGGAGGAGGAGGACGAGGAGGACGAGGAGGAGGAGGAGGAGGAGGAGGAGGAGGAGGAAGAGGAGGAGGAGGGGACAACAAACACATCGCCGGAAATCTGGGCCCACCTCCGCCGAGAGAGCGGCGGTGGGAGGCCCTTTCGAGCCAGATAGGGCGGCTGCGGAAGGCGCGCGGGTCGCCCGCGTCGTGTGCGCACCTGGAAGGGCTTGACGACTTCTTTTAGGTCGGGCATGTCCCCCTGCAGGCGGATTTTGGACGACAGAAATCCGCCGATCGGGCGTGTGATTTGAAGGGGGAGGGGGTGGCCGGGGTGGCTCTGCTGGGGTAGGGGGAGGAGAGGGGGAGAGGGGGTTCCAGTGGCGTCAGGGTTCCAGTGGCGTGGGGGGAGGTCCAGTCCCCCGTCCCGCTTGTGGATATTCGGAATTGGGGGAAGAGGGGGGGTGTCCGGCGGCCGGGGTGGCTCTGCCGGGGTAGGGGGGGGGGGTCCGCTGGCGTGGGTTCCGGTTGCTGGGGAGGGGGGGGGGGTCCGGTCTCCCGTCCCACGGGGTGGGCGGGTTCCGGTGGCGTGGGTTCCGATGGCGTTGGGTTCCGTGGCGCGCGAGCTTGAAGGAGCCTCAGCTACAGCCTCGAGGCTGAGCTTCAGCCCCTGGGGGGGTTGCCGGCGTGGCTCAACCGGGGAAAGAGGGTTGGGGGGATGTGCGCGTGTGCGTGGGGTAATGTTTGTCCGTGTACGCGAAAAGGGAATCGGAGAAAAAGGGGGGGAGAAGTGGAACGGGACAATAGCGGATAACGGGGAACAAATGGGGGGAAGACAGAGGTGGCGGTGAGATGCGTGTCTGCTGTGTGATGTGTGCGTGTGTGTGTCTCTCTGTATGTGTGTGTGTGTGTGTGTTGCCGGCGTGTGCGTGTGGTTGTGCCTGCGAAGGTGGCGCGCGTATGTGAATGTGGTGTGTGGGGTGGGTGTGTCTCGTGTGTGTGTGTGTGTTTGTGTGTGTGTGTGTGTGT